GGAGAAAGAAAGAAACAAGAAGAGAGGCTACAGCAGTGGTTGGAGGAGAAAGAAAAGAAACAAGAAGAGAGGCTACAGCAGTGGTTGGAGGAGAAAAGAAAAGAAACAAGAAGAGAGACTACAGCAGTAGTTGGAGGAGAAAGAAAATATACAAGAAGAGAGACTACAGCAGTGGCAAGAAAACCAGCACCAGTGGCAACTGGAACAAGAAATGAAACAAGAAGAACGAGAAAAAAAGAGAAAGAAAGTCTCCAACAGTCGAGAGAAAGCCTGCATACACAAATGGAAAAGAAGTCAAAGTGACTGAAGGAGTTGATGATGGTGAAGTGGAACCAGGTATAGATATTAAAGCAGAGCAGGAGAAAGACCAAGATTTGAAGGCAATAACTGATTTTCTACAAGCAAGTGTTTTGCACCCAGCTTGGGAGAAAGTGTCTAGCTTAAGCCCTGTGACAAAGAACTATTGGGCACAATGAAACCAGTTGAAGTTTGAAGCTGTTATTCTTGTCCGGAGATGGGAAACTGCAGATGGGAAAGTGACGACCTGGCAAACAGTTATACCGAGAAAGTTACGAGAAGTTGTGTTGCGTCAATCCCATGATAGTTTAACAGAAGGACATCTTGGAGTTAAGAAGACATTGAGTCACTTACGGGAGAGATTTTACTGGATAGGTATGAGGCAAGATGTGGAAGAATGGTGCAAGACCTGCAGTACATGTTGTGCTAAGAGGGGACCAAAGCATAAAAGACGTGCTCCAATGAAGTTATATCAAGTTGGTGCACCAATGGAAAGAGTAGCATTGACATTGCTGGTCCTTTGCCTCAAACTCGTGCTGGAAACAAGTACATTTGTGTGGTGATGGATTATTTAACCAAGTGGCCTGAGGCATATGCAATACCAAATCAGGAAGCTACAACTGTAGCTTCGGCTATTAGAGATTTCTTCTTCAGATTTGGTATGCCATACGAACTGCATTCAGATCAAGGCCGTAACTTTGAATCAGCTGTGTTCCAAGAATGCTGCAAGTTGTTTGGCATACGAAAGACCAGAACAACGCCACTTCACCCACAGTCTGATGGGATGGTAGAAAAGTACAATTGGACACTGGGACAGGAATTGGCAAAGTTTTGTAATAGCCGCCAAGATGACTGGGATGTCTTTCTCCCTCCACTGTTGATGGCCTATAGAACAGCAGAGCATGAAGCCAATGGATACACTCCAGCAAAGCTGATGTTTGGTCGGTAAATTCGGTTGCCAGTAGACCTGATAACAGGACTTCCACCTTACGAGAGTTGCCTGAAATGTGCCAGTGTTCGTGAAAGTGTTATCTGAAA